TCTACTACAGGGCAACTCTTGCCCTCCAGCTGAGTTTTAACTACTAATTCCAACATGCCTCTGCCTCTAGGAGTCATGCCTATAACTGTCACTCTTGCAATGCCCATTGGGACTTGTATTTCCACAACAGCTGGAGGACCACCGGAGTTGCCTACCCCTGATCTATTAGCTTGGGGAAGGGAAGAATAGGGAGCATGACTTGCCTTGCTGTGTCTGTGTGTTTTGTGAAGACTAGCACTCTGTTCCTCCTCTGACCCGCCCCCAGCCTCCGCTGCCACCCTGTTCCTCCTCTGTATCTATACCCAGCCTGCTATTGGATTTTCTAAAATGCAATTGCCAATACCAGGCTGGCTATTGCTCCCGCCCATTGCATTTTGCCAATCAGCAGAGGAGGACCTGATGGAGAACTTTCTCCTTCAGTTCCCTCCCCTGCTGATTGCAAAGGTGTCATAGAAAAAATACCTTAATATAAAACACTGTTTAGATAATTTGTGTGTTTTGGAATTTTTATTTTTGGTGGGACTTCCTGATCCCCGAAGGCGATCGGATTACTCCCTGGATCAACTGTGGTGTAAAGAGAGTGCTGAGACATGGGAGGTATTTTCTTGTCCTATGCAGATTCACATGTGTGCCCACGCACTGCTGACGTAGGTGAACCCAGGGATGTACCCCTCCTCGTCTGGAAGGCAAGATGACTTGGGATACTGATGTAGGGCCGATGGGGAAAGCCGTGTTCTGATTTCCGCATCCATGGGCTGTAAAAAGTAAACACAAATTCAGATTCAGTTTTTCTGGATCTCTAGATATTGTTTAATAATGACCAACTCTCGCATTACAACCTAGTAGAGCTGCAACAGTTAATCGATTTAGTCGATTAAAATCGACGGCAACGTTTTCGATTGTCGATTCGTCGGCTATCGATTGATTTGCCTGTTCCGGGCTCCACATGCGGCCTGAGCCACACGTCACACGCTGCTCCCGCTGCGGCCGCCGTGCCCACGGCACAGGCCGTGTAAGCCACCGCACAGGACGCTGAAGCCATGCACGCCGCTGCTCTACTCCTCGACGCGATCTCCCTCACTCGTCGCTGGCCCGCCGACAATCGAGGGCCCACCTTCTGAAGCCAGTATAGGACCTCTTCTTCCTCTTTTACACGCAGTGGGAGAGCAGGCAGGATACAAATCTAGAAGCAAACTACGTGCCTGTGCCCATCCCTTGCACCACATGGCAATGGGCGACATGACATCTCGTAGAGTTTGCATAGATTATATCATGTGCCATTGCATCATCCCACTCCCAACTAGGCACCATTGTGTCTGGTGCGTAGAAAGTTACATTCTTATTTCCTTCTCTCATTGAAAAGTGAACAATTAACTGATTAGTGTGCAAGGTATTACTGCAGGCTGGGACATGTCTGTGTCCCCTACATTATCTGTATGGACACAGCAATGCTCTAATCTGTTATGGGGGGGCATGCTGTTTATTTTTATTATTATTTCTTAGAACAGTTGAACACTTTAGTGTATTCTGTGACAACTGTGAAATTCTTTGCTTACATTCGGGATCAGAGTGTCAGCAAAGAAACAGAAGCTGTTACAGAATAACACAGAGCTCTCAGTTTCTTTCTTTCTTTACATTTTGCAACAATATTCTGTTACTTTGCTTTTATTTGGGTTACAAGTCAGAGAGAGGTAAATGACAGCTCTCCCGCTTGTTGTGTTTGGTTCCGAATGACATTGGTATGTATCGGAATGTCGTTATCAAACATTTGCATTCGTTATTTCTGTCATTCAGAATACATTATTAAGCACCTTGCAGAGTACAATTGTCTTGCACATCATCAGGCGCTTTGTGGATTGGGGTCTGTGACCTGAGAACCGACTTCTAACGTGCCATTGCCTAAATCCCACATTAGTGCATATATATTGTTAAAGGCGTTGTAAAGTCCCAGCATACACTATCCTGTTATAAAATCAGCGTTGTAATAGGAATACGGTACATAGTAGAGTTGTTTCTGATAATACAATCAAAGCTTACTTGAAAAAAAAAAAAATCCCTTTTATGCAGCAAGTGCTGCCTTCTGTCTGCCCATCACTTCCAACAACTTCCTGGATTCCCAGTGTGCTTTGCATCTCTTTCCCTGCTGTTTGATGCGATTCAATCTCCATTTCTCAAGACTATATATCCCATCTTGCATTGCTTCCAGCGAGCAATGATAATATTACACTGTTCAGAGACTAAGTTGTAGTTCAGAAGGTAGGCTCTGTGACACAAGGAAGTTCATATTCACAGGGCTGACTGAAATTGTGTACTTCCATTGAAGAAGAACATCCTATGGGAATCTTCAATAGGTAAGTTTACAAACTTCTACATGGATTTGGTTATTAGGAGTGGAATAGAACATGGAAATTCAGTATAGAAATACAGATTTTTTTTTTTGACCAAGGTTACCTTCTTAGTATTGGTATTTTCTTCATCATCATCATGTTAAGTGTTAATAGAGTTTCATTGCTCTCTGAAAAGCCACAACAGCTTAATCTTGCAATTACCTAGGAATAATTACATGCTTCATCCCAGAGAACAACAAGAGAAAATAATGTTTGCTCAAACACCGAAGAACATTTTAATTGCTACATACCATGGTATTCTTTGCTGGTTCGGTTGACCTTTAAAAACTCCTCAGTTCTTGATTTCAATTTAATTTGAGTAACTGATGCTGAACAGAATGAAAGTGCAGTTCACCATTTTTTTTATATTTAGCTGTTTGATAGTTTCAAAGTTCATCATAGAAAAGTACAAAGGTGCAGTATCACAAACATTTTAAGGTGGTCGGTAGGCAATGAATACATGACATTTTAATGATCATAATTCTTTTAATTGCAGATGTTTTTTATTTAATGATTTTTCTGTTTACATGTAGACCAAGCTGTCCTGCTAAAGTGAGAAGACTGAGCTTGGGGCAGATGATAAAGTTGATAGATAATGAATCTACTGAGAACTGCCTCAGTCCTGGATAGGCAGGTGAGCTGCCCTGACTAAACCAGCAACAGTGTCAGAGTTGTCAGCTCATGAGTTTTCCAGGCATCCTCTGGGATTAAAAGGAACACAGCCATTTAAAATACGGAATCCCCAGCATGTCTTTTTCATGGTCTCCTATTAGTGCTGAAGAGCACATACTAGCTATATGCACAGTACCATCTATTCCTCATTGACTCTTAAGTTTGTGTGGATCCCAAAACAGTACATGTTTTTCTTTCATTACACTGGTTTGTCTGTGGAGTTTCCCATTTATCAAGGTCATGGTATTTCTAGTAGTAGTTAGTTCCATTTAGATGGGCTTGTTCTGTAATGTGGAAGGTGTTTCCCTGACCATTCTAAGTGATCCAAGTGAAGCTGCAAATTAACTTCAAGTTGGGAACAGCCACTTGTATGAGTGGGGAAACATATTCAGCATTACAGAACAAGTCCAGTTGAATGTGGCCAATTACAGGTATGGAGTTGGTTGTTGCTGTGAATGTGCATTGGGATTTTGTAAGGGGTACAGTTCATATATAAATGATGCAGTCACTGTGAAGCAGCATTGTAGAGGAGATACATGATCTACTTGGTTCTTGTAACAATAACGAGTTTTAATAATTGTTTGAATTATATGTATATCTAGTCTACTAATCCTTGCTCTGTTACCACGGCAACACAGCAAGGATTAGTTATGGAAGTGTTGGGTGTTACGGTATAAACATATCAGCATCTCAGAATTTCACTGTGACATCAAATTATATTACAACCTAATCTAATTATGGCAGCCATATGGCAAGATGCCTTGGGTTTAGTGAATAGGTAGGACTAAACCGATACAAGAAGTGGGTTTTGCGGTGTCCTACATATACCCTGAAGCAGGGGTGGGCAAACGCTGACTCTCCTGCTGTTGTGGAAGGCCCATGAGGCATTACAATATTCTTACAGCCACAGGCATGACTCCCAGATACAGATGCAAGATGGGATTTGTCATTTCACCACAGCTGGCGGGCTGGAGTATGCCCACCCCTGCCCTACAGCTATATGAATGACTGCAAAAAAGAGACAGTAACTTCTTTGCTTGCAATCCTTGTTTGCCTCATATTATTTTCTCCATTGCTTCCTGCTTAAAGTTGAACACCAGGCATATATAAAAGACACAAATGAATGCATCTCTTTATTCTTTAGTGAAATTAAATCTATTTTTTTATTAAATGGAAGATGTGGAAGTATCCAAATTTGACCTGGTATCAGCCTCTCACAATCCATGTACAACAGAGCTCAGAATGGAAGTGTGAGAAGCAGCACGAGGAGCCAATCAGTTGAATTGCTGTGCTTAACTGCTAACAAGGGACATGCTGATAGGAGAACAGAGTCTGCTTATTCTCCTTTCACTGTCCAATCACAAGCTGGAGAGGGACACAACCTAAAAGTGTTACTTAACTGCAGGAAATCGGGTCTTCTGCCCTACCAGACAGGGCTATGCTGTTTGGCAGAACTGTGTTAATCCCAGGACTGGATGGTCAGAAATACTAATCTTTCAGGACCAAGTTTTATTTATATATGTATGTCATCTGTGCATTTAGCTGTTTGCTTGGAGTCTAGCTTTAAGTTTGCTCAAACCTGGTATTTCTCTTATGAGTGGAAACAATTGCCCCCAGTTTCTATTCTCGGGGCTCCATTGACAAGATCTACCCACCTTATCTAAACATAGAGCTCTCGCTATTGCTTTGTTCATTATCTTAGATACAATCAATATTGAGCAAGTCAGCAGTGCGAGGGATACTGCCTGATAATGGGGAGTGGAGGTGCGGAGGGGTAGAGCTAGAATGAAATTCTTATATCAGCATGGGTCAAACCACAATGTCATTGTTGGGTGGTCATAGCCTTTTAATACGTTTTCATTACTAATTTCACAAGGTGTTTGATTGTATCCCTGAAATTCGATAAGCTGATTTGATATGAATTCATTTATTTTTTCCTAGGTTCAGACCAAGAATATCTGATGATTCCTTGTAGTCATTCCATACCCTGCACACATCAGCTTTATTGCGAAGAGATTCAGGTAAGGAGCCTATTATATATAATCTGTATTGTGTCTTTGTTACAGTGGAGAATGGTTGTATTTCCTTAAAAATGAACCTGTGCCCTCACTATGGAGACTATAGCATTGAGCTTTGTGTATCTCTTCCAGATCTGCGCAGTAATCTGCCAGGAAAATTAGTCTGTGTGCATTCGCTCCCTGTAATAAAGACCAGTCACTTCTGCTCTCTCTCCTGTATTTTCTGCTGGCACCTTGTAGTGGGTGGGTCATTCTAGGTCCCTTCTGCAGCTCTGTTCTCTGCACAGGCATTATGTCACTGCTATTTTTATATATAACATCAGGGTTTGCATTTGGTGTGTATTTATATCTTTTATAGTTTTTTAAGGAATATATGTAAACGATTTTTATGCCCAGAGGTGAACTTTAAAATAAATCCTCATTCATCTCTGTGTCTATTAGCTTTGGGGAAAAACTAATTTTCAAAGTTCATTGAAATCTTAGCTGTTTTTCTAAAAGAGCAGAATCTTGGCAGGTTTCTAATATAAATACATAGCAGGTCTTTCTAAGCTGCTAGATACCAAATTAAACCCAACTATAGAGTTTTTGTTGTTGTTTTGATCTTTGAGGATCATATTTTTGACACGAGTTCTTTAAACTGAAATGAAAAAAGTGAAGATCTGCTATGCTATTGGGAACATCTGGAACTGTTAATTGTACACAATCTATGCTCTGTAAAAAATACTGTTGATCTTGAATTCCTCATGAAATATAGCAGAGGACTTCTAGGGGTGCCCAGCCACTCCTGTGCCTTGATCCTCATAGCTTTATATCTGCAGTCTGAGATCTCAGGCACTGCTGCCTCTGCTAGTCTGCTGGAGATTTGGAGTGATATTTGGTGATGTCAGTACTGTGCTGTTCACTGTTCTCTTTGCTGGAGGCTCTAACTTGAGGAAGCAAAACCATGTCTTTACCAAGATGGCCGCTTCCACACAGAGGCACACTGCAGGATAAGGCATGGTAAGGCAGTAATGGGGAAAGATCAGCTGCAGGGAGACCACAAGCAATGCTGGTGACTAATCCTTTGTCCTCAACCTGCCTACTAAGCAACATGACAGTTTGTCAGTTAAGACAGGAGAAAGCTGTTAGAGGGGGGCGGGGGGTTAGTGGGGTGTCATTAATGTTGGACCTGGGAGTAAAAAATGCCTCCTGATAATCAAAAGACAGAAAAAATAAACGTAGGATGACAAATAAACCCTAAACAGATCAGAGATATACCACATACAGAATCCACATTAAGTCCCTCCTATATATTTCTTCCCTTTTTTTTCTAAAAGGACATATCACTGTAAAGGTGCTCAACAAAACTAGGTTTTAGCCCTGTTGCCTGTGACAACAAAACATCTAAAAGGTAAGAATTTTTTTATTATTATTTTTCGGTATGCTGTGTGAATTGGAAGACATAACAAACATATACAAGGGTTTTCTCACATTTGAAAGCAAAAGTGGAAATAATAGTGTAATGTAAAGCGTTGGATGCAGCGATGTAAAGCACGCCGCTACTGGACTCCAGAGAAGTGGAGACGTGTTCTCTGGAGTGATGAATCACGCTTCTCTTTCTGGCAATCCGATGGACATGTCTGGGTTTCGCGGGTGCCAGGAGAACGGTACTTGCCTGACTGCATTGTGCCAAGTGTAAAGTTTGGTGGAGGGGGGATTATGATGTGGGGTTGTTTTTCACGGGTTGGGCTTGGCCCCTTAGTTCCAGTGAAGGGAATGCGCAGTTCGGATTCTCGGTCAGGAGATGAGCAGAGACGCAAGGCAAGTGTATGGACGCATGCACCCGCATGCAGACACCTCTGGATCGGAGAGACAGAGCAGTCAGCGCTGGATCGGAGAGCCGCCGCACCGCTGGAGGGACAGATGAAAACATCAGGAAAGAAGAAGATCGGAATAAGAGACATCATTTAAGGTAAGTGCTAACATTAACATGGGGGGGAGGGGAATTTTTTTTGGACTTTAATGTCACTTTAAGCATAAAGTTTGTGATATACCAGCACAGGTATTTGTACATTTTCCAGCCTGGCTCCATTACCATGTAGAAATGTTAGGCGTCTGTATGCGTGCATGTATTATCCCTTTTTCGGAATCCTGGGAATTCTTCCCGCTCCTTAATATACCCAAGAGTAGCTGGCACCAGCAAAGTCTTGTCTATTGGTCGCTATTTCCATCAACTCCTTAGCATTGGCAGAGGTCTACTCGTGCTTGTGAATGTAGGATTTGAATTCATTTTCAAGCCTTGCCATGTATTTCTTAAGCACGGTTGTAAAGCTGTACAGCATAGCGACTCAGAATAGCTGTTTAATAATAGTCCTTCCAGATGTCCAGAGTTGTCATCCATGGGACAACTCTGGTCCTGTGCCAGTGTTCCTGAGGTCACGATTTGTCAGTGATAGTACTGTCCTCATCATATAACTCTTACTACAGGAGGGAATGAATGAGTGATATACTAACTTCTATGGCCTTAAACTCTATCTCCTGTGTGACATTTATGTGATCAATTCGTTAGAAAAAACTCTTCAATGTTATTCAGCAATAATTATTTTTTTTAATGTCCTTTACATATTCCCATTTGTCTACATTTCAATTTATGAATTTACAGGCACTGCTAGAATCTTTCTAACACAACCATTCTGGGTTTGTGAGATGCCTCCCTGCTGCCCACTGTTGCTTCAGCCCCGGCTAGCAGCACTGTGAACACATCTAGAAGTGACTCAATATTCAGAAATAAAGGGTACCAAACCAAAAGGTGAAAGAGTTCAAAAGTGCCTTTAATTGTTCACAATTCAGTCAAATAAAACATATCCAACGCAGTTCGGGACAACAACACTCCCCTTCATCAGGGCTTAGAATGGGATAAGGATGTTATTGGGATCAAGAGAAAATACCCACTTAGTTCTCTATATGGTTTAAGAAAAAGAACATTAGCTTATAGTATCTTTTGAGTCCAATCAAATCCTTAAACCATTCTTTATTTGATTGAAGTTTCTGAAAGAAACCCTGCTTGGAAATATATATATATATATATACCGTATATACTCGAGTATAAGCCGAGTTTTTCAGCCCATTTTTTTTGCTGAAAAGTGCCCCCCTCGGCTTATACTCGAGTCAGCGTCTCGAGCTGGTCAGGTTTCTTCTTACTTACCTCGCCGAGCGGCGCGTCACTGCTGCTCCGGTGGGCGGCGCTTCGAGCGGGGTCATCTGGCAGTCTCCGGGTCCTAATTTAGGTGGCC